ACGGCACGATAATCTCACAGTGTGTAGTACCGTGTGCATGTCTGACAAAAATAAAGAGGGTTCAATCCTCTTATTCAAAGTATAGTACTTGGGTAAATGTACTTAATCTACTCAAAAATATGTAGTTCTAGTCTTACTAGTAATCATTTGGTTTTTATCATTAATATCATTACTTGATGTACCATTTTTAAATATTCATTGTTGTATATTGTACTTTTTATGATATTATAAATATTTGTATTCTTTTATTTAATATTCTTAATCCTCAGTTTAACTTGAACTCCTTATGTGTATATTTTATTTTATCTTTGTTTTGTTTTTGGGGGGGGGAAGGTTTAAATAGAGCTACCTAATTTCCCCGGGATAAATAAAGTATTTGAATTCTTACTCAAAAATGAGAAAAGCACATTTTTCTTTATTTAGCGTTTTGAGAATTAAGCCCAAATGTTGAGAATACAATTGAATTGTTGAGAAAACATTTAATATGTCAAGAAAGTCAAACATGAGTTATAGTGTTAGATATATGAGACAAAATAAATCAGAGGAATATTTTAAGCGTCAAAAAACAAAACTAGTAGCATTAGCACGGATACAGAAAGTCTGACTTTAGCACCTGAACGAAGCACAAGCCCCACAAAGGAGCTTATTTTTAACCCCAGGCTGAAAAGGGCAGTAGTAGAAAGTGTGAAAGTTTCCTCCCTAAAGAATGATCTGCTGTTAGAGTAGAACCAGCCCACGACTGACCCAGATAGTTTTACTGTGGGAGGGAAATGATGCACTTACTGGGTTTCTTCTTGCATCGCAGGCAGAGCACTGAGAGCAGACTCAGAGACAGAACCGACCCAACGGTCAGGACCAGAACGTCGGAGCTTCCTATCATCACTGGCACACACACACACACACACACAGAAACAGAATGATGTGGCTTCTCAGTGGACAAAGTTTAAAGACGTGTTCTCTCCTTCATGGCTGAAGTAGCTGCTGTCTTCCTGTTGAGACAGAGCAGTCCTCAGGATGTGGTTGGCTAAAACAAAATGAAACCTCAACTGTATCTAAAACTGACACCGACGCTTCAGATGCATCAGTAGTGAAACTGAGTACATTTACACCCCTTTAAGTACTTCTTATACTTTACTAAAGTGTTGTAGGCAACTTTATACAACTTTATACAAATATATATATTTATATACAACATCGATTTGATATGATAATCGTGGATAAAATTGAATAATATATCGTAGTTACGGTAATATAGGATGAGACACGATAGCTGGAAAGATACAATACTATATAACATAAGATATGATAAAAATAATTTAAAAAAACATAAGAGTTATAGTAAGTAACTAAGTACATTTACTCAAGTACTTAAGTAACATGTTGAGGTACTTAAACTTGACTTGAGTATTTCCATTGTGTGCTACTTTGTACTTCTACTCCACTACACTTCAGAGGTACATGGTGTACTTTTACTCCACTACATGTATTGAACACCTTTATTTACTTTACAGATGTGGATGAATGATGTGAAATATAATCAAGTGTTAAATCAGACTTTAGTTCCACCTGGAGTAAATTCACAAGCTACCCTGCAGTATACAAAGTCATTCAAACTAGCTGCACCTTTACCAGCTTTGAGAACACTTTCATGATCAATCATTATAAAACATATCATATATATTATTCTGAAATGGACCAATCTGCATAATGAGTACTTTTACCGTTTGTACTTTAACTATATTTTGATGATAATACTTTTGTACTTTTACTTGTGAGACATTTTGAATGCAGGACTTTTACTTGTGAGACGACTGCTCGATGATTGATGCATATCAGTGATAATATGTGTGGTTTTAATCATCAGCTGCAGAGACTTCCTGTTCTGAGCTGTGCTAAAACCACTAATCACCTACTAAATGTTGTTTTTATGTGTTTAATGAAGACCATGAGGTCAGAGGCGTAGTGTCTCTTTCACCTCTCCATTCACTTTGGAAGTGGATAACGTTTTTCCCCAGAAATCTCTCTGTGCTGTTCACAAGGTATTGCATAATGTGTTTTTACTCAAGACTCTTCAATTCCTTTTTTGCCAATAATACTTCTTCTTGTATTGTACTATTTGTGCAGAAATTATTTACAAAGCCTACTTAAAGGTGGGGTAGGTAATTCACTTCAGAAACACTTTTTGTTATATTCCATGGAATGCTCTTAACATCCCGATAGCAATGAATATATTAAATGCTTTGACAATAAATACATTAAAATATTTCATCTGTGGAAGCCGTGGCGCTGTAAAAAGCACGACCAATCATCTGAGCCGGCCCGGCTAAAATAACTGGATGGCCTACCTGCCTGTCAGCCTTCCATCTCGTGCACAAACTTATCTCGTGCCCTCATTGGTCATGTGCGCGTTCGTGTGTGTTGGAGGAGGGGCTCTGTAAGGAAGTCTGAAGGAAGGGGCAGATTTTTTCCGGCTGCGTACTTTCAAATTCTAGCGCACTCGAGCTGCTTTCTCCATTCTTACCTACCCTGCCTTTAACCAAATAAACACAGATAGATACATAACTTAGCTGTCGACAAATCAGGGAAAAAATGAAATAATAATACATGGCAAAAACATAATGGAGACATTATTAGGTGTACTTTAAGTGTCAGTTCTTCATGTTCATTATACATGTGTTGTGCTCTATACTTTACCCATATTTAATCTAAAATATGAACTTGGTTTCTAATTCTCATTGTCATTTTCTCCATTCCATACATTTCATTTACTAGGTTGTTCCATCGTGAGTTGATAAGGTTATTATCTTTTAGCCAATTCCTTGTGATTTGTTAATGATTGCTATTCGTGTCACTGAAAGGGTTAGGGTTAGGGAATCTTTTTGTTTTATTGCCTCTGGTCTTTTCCCAAGTAATAGAGGGTTCTTGTTTCGAAAAATGCCAACAATAACTATTTCCAAGAAGCAGCACAAAACATTACAGGACCAAAACATATAATCATCGTTGTCCTTCTGCTCTCCGCACTCTCTCCAGCATTTTGAAGTGACATTTTGTTTGTGTATACTGTGAATTTAGGGTGTCTCGAAGTAACGAATGAATATCTTCCATGTGTATTCTTCCATTAGTTTGAATTTGTTTGAATGTTTTTGCAAATGTGTTCCCAATCTGTATTGTACTTTTTATTTGATAACATTTGTTATTTTAACTAATTAGTTATGAGTTTTTTATTTATTAAGAAACAGTGCAGAGTAAAAAAACGTTAAAGTACTTAAAGTACTAAAAGTAAAAGTAGTCATTGTGCAGATTGGTCCATTTCAGAATAATATATATGATATGTTTTATAATGATTGATCATTAAAGTGTTATCAAAGCTGGTAAAGGTGCAGCTAGTTTTAATAACTTTGTATACTGCAGGGTAGCTTGTGAATTTACTCCAGGTGGAACTAAAGTCTGATTTAACACTTGATTATATTTCACATCATTCATCCAAATATGTAAAGTAACTAAAGGTATTAAATACATGTAGTGGAGTAAAAGTACACCATGTACCTCTGAAGTGTAGTGGAGTAGAAGAACAAAGTAGCATAACATGGAAATACTCCAGTAAAGTCAGAATTGTAAGCACAAACTTGAGTAAGTCTACTTAGTTACTTTACACCCCTACAAACACAAACATTTTAAAGATAATATTAGACATCAACAAGAGCCATTATGTTAGATGTAACTCACTCAATAATGATTGAAGTGTTTTACCTCCAGTGGTCCGCTGCCCTCTTTCTGCTCAGCAGCAGCAAAGAGTTTCCTTTTTCAACATCTTGCCACATCCGTCACACTCGAGGCAGAGAAGACCTCCCCGAAGCTGCTCGTCTGATCTCTGTGAGCTTTGAAGAGTGGACACAGTAACACATCCTTTTAACACATTTAATCCAAGCTGATTAATCATGTTTTTTTAAATGACAGGTCTGCACATGTTGTTGTATGCAGTGGTGGAAGGACTAGTTTTTTTACTGAAGTGAAATTAGCAACACAGTTCAGCCAAAATACAAACAATAATAAAAATGTTTTGCTAAACCAACTTATTCAAGTAATAGAAAATACAAAAAATAAATAATAATAAAAGGAAAATTCATATTACATTACATTACATGTCATATTAAATATCTTTCTGTTGTAATTGACAACAGCTGTTTTTTAAATCAACTAATACATCTTATCTTAATAGTAGGACAATCCTACAGTGCATTTACTCAAGTACTGAACTCTGGTATAATGTTTGAGGTAATTGTACTTTACTTGAGGAGCTTCTTTGTTTTGCTTCTTAATATATTATGTATCGTAAATGTTACTCTACACCACATGTATTCAATACATTTAGTACATGTATTTTGATTTATATTAATAATAATAAATTAGAAAATAATGTAGTACTATATCTTCTAATTACAGATGTATCTACATGTATTGATGCCTTGCTTTAATATATTCTAGTGGCAGCAGGTTGTGATAACATTTGCATTTCTTAAAAGTCACAGTACAATATTTTACTACTTTTTTGTTATGAACCTATTTTTTTAAATCGTATTCATTCAAGAAAAAATATAGACATAGGATATATACACACACAAAAACGGTGACATCAGAGACAAACATCGAAAGTAAAAAAAGGTGATATTTCACATAAACTAAGTTGTGATTCTCTTGCCACGTGTTGATATCATTTATTATTTATTTTAAGAGCGGTTCTTGGCGTGATGACGTCACAATACGTGACAGCGTGGAGACTTCTTTGTGGGCCCTGTTTGCTTTGGACTGCTCACCTAAAACACTTTGGTTTGAATATGTGCAGTTTCTTTTAATGTTTAATTATTGAAAGGCGGAGTGCCCCTACTTCCGGTTCGGCTCTGAAGGCGGGGGTGTGTTCCTTCCGGCAGCTGCTCGCTCCCCACCCTGTGTTGTTGTTGTTTTTAATAGCAGTCGCTCACCGTGGCTCGTGCAGCTATCGTCCCGTGATTTCGGTGCCGCCGCCCAACGGTTGGCTCGCCGCGCGCATGCAGCAGAATGGCTCGAGCGGTCCCAACGGTTCTAACGGGTCTAACGGTTCTTCTGAGGGGAGCGGCGGTGGCAGGGAGCGGCAGGAGCGGCAGGAGCGGCAGGAGCGGCAGCAGGCTCCGTCATTCAGCCCGCTGCCCGCCGCCACTACTCGGGTGAGGCGCTTCATCCAGGAGAGGCGGGCGCTGCCTCTACCCAGGGTGACGGTGGTTTTCTCGGCCGCGGGGGACACCGAGAAACCTGGCGATGCCATGTCCGGCAGCTCTGGCTCCACTACGGCTGCCGAGGCCGAGTTCAGAAAACCGGCCTCCCCGACGCCGAGCTTCGCCCTCAGCAAGACGCTCCGCTCCGCGTTCAACACACCGGAGCAGGAGGTAGGCCGAGCCGCGGTACAGGGCTGCTGGACCGGGAGAAAATCACGTGAAACAGCAAACAAACAAGCTAACACATTGACATGATATTTAGTTCTTAACTTGTAAGGTATTAGTACTAAATAACCCATGGTGGAAGGAGTAGCCTACTCACATCCATTACTTAAGTTAAAGTAGTAACGTTACAGTGTAGAAAGTAAACAAGTACACATTTTACTTAAATTAATGAAGTAAAGCATCAAATCATAGCCTTCTTAAAGTAGGCAACAAAAAGTAAAAATACACATAATGCAGAATGGCCTATTTATAAATTGTATATATTTTAGTATTTATTGCATTCATTATTTACTAAATGAACTTATATGTGCAGGGTATCAAGCGATGAATAAAGTGTTATGTTTATCTAAATTATTAGTCATTTAGTCATTATTTTTTGCATTAGGATTTTGCAAAGTAACAGTAAAAAACAGCACAACATTTTCCACCTATTTGCAGTGAGTATCTATGCACTTGAGTGAAGTAAAAGTATGTCATAGTTTTTTTAGTACAGTACTTGAGTAAGTATAACTGTCTTAATAAACAAAGGATTAATTAGTCAATAACTACTATTCCAAAAAAGAGAAAGTTAAAGTCAGTTCAAACTTCCATATAATAATAAAACATATTATCTCTACCCAGTGTCAGATGTTAACTACATTCTTAGTACATCCTGACTGATAGTTTCACTTTTGGCTGTTTATGGCTATTTATACAGAAGGGATCAGTGGTCTTGAACCTAGGCCGCGTCCTGATTGGTCGACAGTCGTGTCACATGACTTGTGTTAACTTGGATTGCAGTTGAATAATCCTTTTATTTCTGTAGTCTGACCTGCAGTCAAATACAGGCTATTCACAGCCCTTTGGATTAATCTGAAGAGGTGTTGAATTAGCTTTTAAATCAAACTGGGTCCAGTGATTTATTGAATTCTCTGGTCCAATAAACAACAAGGAAATAAGCTGTTCTACTTTTAACCTAGTGTGTCCAATATGTAGAGGCCTTAAATCATAAACTTCATTATCGCTTTAATCTGATGATTATTTTCTAGATTAATTGTTTGTTTAATACAATTATATAAAATGGAGAAAAGCAGGATATCTCTATATTTCAGAGGCTAAGAACAAAAACATTTTATGATTTGTTTTCGCATTAAAAATACTTCAACAATTAATCAATCCAAAAAGATGGCAACTCTCTCCCATCCATTAACATATTGTTGCAGCTCAACCACTTTTCAGTAACAGTTATACTTTAAGGTTACAAAAGTGCTTGAATAAAAAAAAAACTCCTAGAAAAATTCTGTATTTTCAAAAACATGTTGTGCACAACAGATGAATAAAAATGATCCTCAAAGCTAGGCGATATCTGGGCCAGCTGACATTGATTTCTAACCAAATGTGTGCCACACCAATGCACATGTTTGTATTCGTTGATGGTGGGGCAATTTCTAAATGAAAATGTCAACATTGTAATGACACATCTAGTGAATTTTGTAATAATTGCACAAATACATGTGGGTTTGTCAGTCTGCCGCGCCCGCTTTTATGCAGTAGTAGCACGTTGTAGTGGCTGATTTTGGATGGGGAAGAGCTGTGAGTACCAGGAAAAGCACTATATAAATAACATGTATTATTATTATACACGGCAGTATTAAAACACTCTTTTTGTGCGGATCTATCTGTTTATATGATGTACTGTACCATCTCATGGGGAATAACACAAACATTTGCACTCTTGTGTCTCATGAAAAAAGGCCCTTTCAACATTACAAGTGGTTTAAATAACACTTTAATGCCTTGTTGTTCTTTCCAAATGTACATTCTTGAATTACTATATCATGTGTCATACTCAGTGGCGTTTTTATATGTACAAAAGTGGTGGGGCACAAAAAACTTAGATGTCTATATATAAGCTTCTGCAGTGACGTGCAGTGAGGTTCATGGCTGGTGAGGCACTGGCACTGACTCTTCAGGTTTACAAATATTATATTTTGACCTAAACCAAAATATAATATTATTTTCAAAAGCTTTTTTTGTCTGATGCTTCGATTAATTTTAAACAGACAGTTCAACAAAAGGATACCCAAAAAATGTAATTTTATCATTTAAATATTGAATTGTTCTCTCTTAGTAAGATCCCATTTTCAATAAAATGGCGGTCTTACCTTGACTTGAAGATGAAGTCCATTTGCCTATCCTTCTGGACAAACATTTCTATTACTTTTTTGTAAAAGTCCTCCTTATCTTCTTGTAGTTTCAAAAGTCTATCATAAATCTAATCGATAGATTTATGATAAAAAATTATAAAAGTAGGGTAGACATGTGGATGTTATCCGGCTGATCAAAACGTGCATTTATCTAACAGGTACGTTTCCCACAGATCTTATTTCGAGCTATTTTCTAAAATGCTATGGAGAAACCTCATTGCTTTTTTGTGCTTACTTCCTGGTTTTAGGACGCGCCACTGCAGCTCTCTCGTCTCCTCTTCAAGCACCACACTTTTCGCGGCACACGTACTTACAGCCAATCAGCTCTGAATGATTTGAGATGACGTATGGTGGGGATGGTAGCTCCATGCCCCTCTGGTCATTATTTTTTTGCCACACACATTACATAGAAAAATACTCTGAGCATGCGCAGTGTAGTTTTTACAGTCACCGTTCACTTCACAGCGAGAGGAAGGTTTTGTCCCACATGGCTCTAAACAGCTCAATAGGCACACACTGTGACTGTAGACACACTAATTAGAAGAACACAGACTAAAACAGCAATGTACAGACGAATCAGATGATTAAACATGATCTTAAAATATATTTTATATATTTTTTTATTTATTTTTTTGCATTTTTGTAATCATTATTTGTAATACTTTCTGCTGACACTAGGTGGGGCTGCCCCTAATGACCAGTCGCCACTGGTCATACTGGATTATCTCTGTTAGAAAAATATCACTCGTCACCGGCTTGAGCTTCAATATCAGGATACATTTATTTATTATCCTTGCAAGAATGGAAGTAGATAGATAGATGGATAGATGGATAGATACTTTATTTATCCCAATTTGGGAAATGTTTGCGTTGCGTTAGTCATCACATACAGAGCATTTGGTACAACTAGTTCCTGAACAGTGTCCTTCACATGCTGATATACACGAGAGGGAGTTACACAGTCACAAGATGGAGGAATACCGGTTCAAAGCAGTATTCAATGTTTAGTTCAGATTAGCTCCACGTCAGAAATGATCATGCTTGTCATATGTCTATCTCCATTGAGGCTGAATCATCATGTTAATCACATAGCTATCATATGTCTAAAACAGTCCTGATGCTCTTCTAGTAGGGCTGTGCAATTAATCGTATTTTAATCTCGATTACGATTTTGGCTTGCAACGATTACGAAAACAATGTAATCGAAATAAAACGATTATTATTTTTATTAAAAAAAAAAAAATTTAATTTATTTTTTATTTGTATTGGTTTTTCAGTTGAATTATACTTAAAGTTCAGGGTAATCAACTGTTAAAAACATACTGTATACAATATATGGATGTTTTCAAAGTAAATGGATAATCGTTTTTAATAATCGTGATATCTTATTGACCAAAATAATCGTGATTATGATTTTTGCCATAATCGCACAGCCCTATCTTCTAGGTAATCATACATCCTGCCATGTACACAGCTACAGTTGGGATACCTTTGTTATCATGATATTGGAAGAGTACATTCAGTATTTTCCCAACAATCTCATTGACACATTACACTCATTTTATCTCCTCTTCCTCCTAGTTCCCAGAGGTCATCTCTCTGAACGTCGGGGGCACGTACTTCACGACCCGCCTGTCCACGCTGCGGCGGCACGAGGACACCATGTTGGCCGCCATGTTCAGCGGACGCCACTACATCCCTCGAGATGTTGAGGGACGATACTTCATAGATCGGGACGGAACATACTTTGGGTGAGTTGCAATAAGTGTGTGAGTTGTTTTTGTCAAATATGAACAGCAGATTTTCATTCAATAATTAATGTCCACTCTGATGTCTTAGGGGACTACTTTATGTTTCCTAATGCTATTTCAAGCTTTTAGGTTGTGAAAAGTCCTCTTTACAAATTGTTGTTTTGTACATTATAACAGCTTATTCCAAACTTTTGAGCAGTAGTGCAAAGAAGACAACATTCATATTATCGAACTGATTTAATTATTCACTTATCTACAGAATGGGAGAGCAGGGTGAAGTGCGAGAGTAAAACGTTTGAAAAAAAGTTAACGCTCTGCAATCTGTAAGACGTTTTAAAGCTGCTGATGACAGCTCATTATATTTTCTGACAGGTTTCCCTGAGTTTAAACTGATTTACATATTTATTTTTCTGCTTATTCGTTGATATATAGAAGTCGATACCAGTGAAAAAAGGGCCTGTGTGTCTTTGTGTACACAGTGACCTTTAACAAAGTTGAGAGGAAGAGGAAACTGACAAAAAGTTGCAGCTATTGACCTTTGTGTTTGTCCCTGAAGCCGTCTCTGTTACTGATATCAAGAAAACTAGATAAAATAAATGACATTTCTTTGAAATATTCGATCTCTTTTATCTGTGCTAAAAAACCAACACTTCAGTAAACATCCCCACAGGGTCGTCACACTGCAGCAGTGAAACGTATTAGTTTCCTCTCATTCATATTTATAAATCTCCTTCTGTTGTTGTCTATTGCACTACATGTTCGTACCTGTTTTGTGTCTTCGCTCAGTCTGAACGTGAATCATTTCTTCCTTTTGTTTGGACTGGAGAAACACCTTTTCTTCCTCTCTGTTCTGCGCTGTATACAGACAAATGAAAGTAATGTCACAGTTAATTATGTAATGACATTCAATTGTGAATCAACTGTAATCGAGTAGAATTACATACCAAACAGACACAATAAGAGTGTATGCTAGCAGCTCTATGAGGCTTTAAAATGCTAATATCAGCATGCTATCAAGCTCAAATGGGCTGATGTTTATAAGGTATAATAAGATTAGTTTATAATCATTCTAACAATAGCATTCAATACAAAGCTGAGGCTGATGGGAAAGAGATACAACTTTAATAACCAGAGGAAAGATTTGGAAATAGTTAAAAAAAGTACATAAAGTATAAACATTAAGGAATAATAATGAGCAGCAGAAACCAAATGCACAAAAGGACAGTGTGATGCAATTCAAATTATACACGTACTAAAAAGTGAACACATGGTGAATGTCATACTGTGAGTGTGAATCTAAACTGAGCTGAAAGAAAAATGATTAAAATCGTTACTGATGATGTGTGTTCCAAGTGTGAATGAAATCCATCCCATAGCTGTCGAGACATTTCACTCAAACGTCAATCTCAAGCTGGGGTTTGAAGGAGAAGTCAGCGGGCATCATCGTCTGGGGAAGAGTACCGGATGTACAAAGTTTCATAAGATATTTAAGTCCGGACCAAAGTGGGCTGCTAGCGTCGCTAAGAGGCGAAAGAAAATCTTTTAAAATATGAATGTGATCACAATCTGAGTCAAGATGTATGACTTATGTAAGAGTGGGTTGGGGTGAGGTCAGTTCTGTGTGAATGTGAGGGGGTGTGGATGAGAGACTGGAAAAACAAGGAGCTTGGAGGATATGTAACTAAATAAATAAGAAAAGCCTCTGCAGGTAAACCCAGAAACGTCTTTACAGCCTGCTCTGTGTTTTCAGGCTTTTGTCTTTTTCTGGGGAATAAATCTTGCTGTTGTGTTGTACACTGCAGCAGCTTCTTCTCCTGCAGGACTTCTCAGTATTTCTCCGCATTCATTTTACTCTCTATGTTCAAAAGCCCTCCAGATTCTGCTGCAGTGAAGCAGAAAATCATCATTCATTTATTGGTCAAGTACGTTGAATCATACCAGGACTTTGAGTCCAGCTGTCAGAAACTCTCAATATACTGAGCAGTGATGGAAACAATACTCTGATTCTTTACTGAATGTTGCTATCAAAATTACATTACATTGCATTTAGCTGACGCTTTTATCCAAAGCGACTTACAATAAGTGCATTCGACCAAGAAGATACAAACTAGAAGAAAACAGAATCATATAAGTACATTAGGTTTCATAGAGCCAAAACATTTCAAGTGCTACTCAACTGGCTTTAGATAAGCCAGTGCTTTGTTAGTATCTAAGTGCTTTGTTAGTAATTTTATCGCTCGAAGTGGAGTCGAAAGAGATGAGTTTTCATTCTGTGCCGGAAGGTGTGTAAGCTTTCTGCTGTCCTGATGTCAATGGGGAGCTCATTCCACCATTTTGGAGCCAGGATAGCAAACCCACGTGTTTTTGCTGATGGGAACTTGGGTCCCCCTCGCAGTGCGGGTGCAGCGAGCCGTTTGGCTGATGCAGAGCGGAGTGCACGTGCTGGGGTGTACGGTTTAACCATGTCCTGGATGTAGGAAGGGCCAGATCCATTCACAGCATGGTACGCAAGAACCAGTGTCTTGAAGTGGATTCTAGCAGTTACTGGAAGCCAGTGAAGGGAGCGGAGGAGCGGGGTGGTGTGGGAACATTTAGGAAGGTTGAAGACCAGACGAGCCGCTGCATTCTGGATGAGCTGCAGAGGTCGGATGGCACATGCGATGTTTGCGGTGAAGGACAGGTTGTTATCTAGGGTCACACCCAAAATGTTTTTCTTTGCTTAAACTGATCATTATAAAAGTATTATTGATTACACAGTACACACTTTAAAAGCTATAGACATGACATCAGAGGCTTTTAGATTGGTTGCCTATAAGCCTCTGTCAATTCTGTTTGCAGTTGTTTTTCCCAGTAGCGATCATTTGCGCGAGATGACATCACAATGACGATATATACAATGAATATATAAATATACATAGAAATAATTGAGATAATCGCACATTAAAGAGGACATGTTATGCTAACTTTCATATTTGTAGTTTATTCAAAAACTGCCCAGTCTGCTCTGATGGTTAGCTGGCCGGCTCTGTTGTTATTGGTCAACCGTTTGGAGATGCCCCGCCCCTTAGACTATCACATACATTGTGGTGAAGCGCTAGCCAATAGAAGCGCGAGTGTTACATTTTGATGTAACTATGTTGCGGAAGTAAACCAATGGGACGTTTCAAGCAGGGGGGGTGTGTGTTGGAGAGACTTTGGGATTTTAGCCTTTGCAGACCATTTACATGCACTAAAACCACCAGCACACTACAGGAAAGGGAAAACCCCACAAAGCACAATAGGGCCTCTTCGATATATAGCTATTAAGGGGGGAAGTTTGTCTGAAAATAGATTCAAAACAACTCTAAATAAGGAATACATTTTTCTGTGTGTGGATTTGTTGTAGTGATGCTTGTTTCTATTCATAGGGACATCTTGAACTTCCTGCGGGAGGGGGAGCTGCCCCACAGAGAGCGGGTGCGGGCGGTGCACAAAGAGGCGCAGTACTACGCCCTCGGCCCGCTGCTCGACAGCCTGGAGGAGACGCAGCCGCTCACAGGGGAGAGGGTTCGACAAGCCTTCCTGGACCTGATGCCCTACTACAGAGGTACCTGCAGTCCTCTCACACCTCCCTTTATATTAATAGAACAATAATGTCATTGTTAGCTAATGAATGTTTCCATGCTGAACAACGGCAACATGACAACGTTTTCATTGGTCCCTCTTCTTTAGAGAAGACCAGGAAATGATGGATACACGGATCGTGTTCAAATCAATAGGCACGCAATGACTCTAAATCAGGGGTCGGCACGCGTGCCACCATGTTACACGCTGTTGTATATAACAGTATGATATTGTATATGTAACATGTTATGTGAGACTCACTGTAAAGGAACTTGAACTTGAACGTGAAAAAAAACATAAATAAGGCTATTATGCATTTTGAAATGGCAATAATAAATGCAACTGTTTTCGTTTCAGACAATCTGGAGCGCATAGTGGAGATCGCCAAACTGAGGGCCATGCAGAAGAAAGCTCGTTTTGCCAAGTTGAAGATCTGCGTGTACAAAGAGGAGATGCCCATCACGCCGTACGAGCGTCCGCTGTTTAACTCTCTGCGTTTCGAGCGCTCGGACAGCGAGGCCAAGCTGTTCGAGCATCACTGCGAGGTGGACGTTTCCTTCGGGCCCTGGGAGGCGGTGGCGGACGTTTACGACCTGCTGCACTGCATCGTGAGCGACCTGTCGGAGCGCGGCATCACGGCGGAGCAGCAGTGCATCGGCGTCTGTGACAAACACCTGATCAACCACTACTACTGCAAGAGGCCCATCTACGAGTTCAAGATCACGTGGTGGTGAGGCTGCAGCGACTCAGAGCGCGGATGGGACCAAAGGGCAACAAGGGAGGATGTTCAATTTTTACTATGACTCGGCCGATATTGGTTTTTGTATTGAAGTCGCCAATATTTTGTGCTGATATCTTAAAATGTGACCCTTTTTAAAACCAACATGTAAGTATTCCCCAAAAATATTCTAATTTATTATTTATCAAAGTGAAGAAAACAAACAATCTCAGTTTTTATTTATTATGACACCTAGCTATTATTAATGTGGTCTTATACAACAATCCTGACTTAGATCATGAATCAAGAACTGATAAAGTTACCTTCATAAAGAAGGAGTTATTGCAAGACCGTAGTTTTGATATCACCAATATTTTGAGCTGATATCCGTAAAATGTGAGCCTTTTGAAAACCAACATGTAAGTATTCTGCGCTTAATCAAAACATATTCTAATTTATTATGAAGAAAGAAGTGAAGAAGTGAAGAAAACAAACAATCTCAGTTGTAATTTATTATGACACCTAGTTATTATTAAGTAAGCGGGATAAAGTGCAGCGAGGCGGTCATTATGGGGAAAAGAACACCCGACATGTCGGGTGTTCTTTTCCCCATAATGACCAAGTCGCTGCACTTTATCCCGCTTATTACACGGCCACATTCTCAACAAAGTAACAATATGACTCCCAATATTAATTGAAATGTTTTTATTGATTTAAAAAATAGTAGGCTATTATTTATTTAAAATTATATGCATCCGCTAAGAAAAATAGTCCGTTGTTACCGTTTGAACTACGTAGCAACGGCAGGAAGTGCTTCGATAGCGTTTTTTGAGGAGCTTTTTGATTACAGATTTGAAAACATCGTTGCTTGCTTTAAAAGTAGCACAATTCATTATGTCAAACCTTGGAAAGTATCTAGATATCCCTGCCCTAATGCCAAAGTAACTGGCAACTGAATATGTTTTGCCGTTTGATGTCTATGTCTGGACCGCTGCGTAAAAAGGAGGGTTTCTGCCCCGTTACTTCTCCGCTGTTTTCTTGTCCCAGTTCGAAAAGCAAAACAGTTAAATCGACCGGACTTCTTTGTGCAGATGTGAGCGTCCTTAACAACGGTCAATAAGTCCTTGACAGCGGTCTGTCTGTTCTGGATTAACAACGTGTCACTTGACCAATCAGAATCGAGTATTCAACTAAGCCATGTAATAATGTGATCTAATACAGCAGTCCTGCATTAAATCATGACTCAAGAACTGAAAAACTAACCTTCATAATGGAAGAGTTATTGCAAGACTGCACTAGCCTTTTTTGATATTGCCAATATGTTGTGCTGATATCTTGAAATGTGACCCCTTCTATTCATGGTTTAACATCTTAGTATCTTACATTTCCCCAAAATATTAAGATTTTATTGTAAATCCAAGTAAAAAAACACGACCAATCATCTGAGCCGGCCGGGCTAAAATAACTGGATGGCCTACCTGCCTGTCAGCCTTCCATCTGTGCACAAACTTCTCTCGTGCCCTCATTGGTCATGTGCGCGTTCGTGTGTGTTGGAGGAGGGGCTCTGTAAGGAAGTCTGAAGGAAGAGGCAGATTTTTTTCCGATTGTGTACTTTCAAATTCTAGCGCACTCGAGCTGGTTTCTCCATTCTTACCTACCCTACCTTTAAGAGGTTAAAACTAATGCTTTCTAATGAAGAAATCCTGCAGTAAATCCTAGAAAGAAATGAAATGCTAACCTTCATAAAGGTTAAGTGTACGACTGTTGTATTAAGACTGCATTCGTTTTGAAAAAAGTTAAGTAGCAGCCCTTAAAAATATAAAATCTTCGGACCTCCAGTGTTTTAATTTGTCACTTGAACGTAGTGATGTGCAGTTTGTTCTCCATCACTGTAAGGTGTGGTTACACGTCTAAAAAACACATGTGACCACACCCAACTTCTCCTGGCTTTCCCTAAACTAACATGTCATCTATTCACATTTCCTCTCTCACAAAAGGACCTTGTGGTAAATATTGAATATTGTAAGTAGGTAAAGTCTGAAGTCAGATCTGTATTTTTAGGACTAAGTTATGCAGATGAACTGTGAGCCTGTTCCTTTTTTGGATAAACAGAGTATATTTTAATTATGCAACCTCCTGAGGAGCGTGTTTTTAAAGATGTGAGAAGGTTGGGTGGTATCCATTTTATCAGTCTTCACATTTTACTCTTAATTTAAATTGTAGAGAATTAAAGGTAGCTGCAGTGTTTGCACTCTAATGCAGATGTGATGCAGTTGTTTACACATTCTTTCATTTCTTTGAAGATGTATATTTATTATTGTCACAGAGATAATCAATAGTTATTCCTATTTAATGTCAACTCTCGTTCCACATGTTTTGTTAACATCACCACGTTAAGAGAAACCCACCGAAGCGTTGAAGCAGAGTCAGAGCTAAGTTAAATGTTATTTCCTACTGTACTTGATAATGAAGCACCTTGTGATTGTAACCAATACACTATTTCCTTTTTTACCTCAAGTGAGAGAATCCTTCAAACAGCGATAGAAAGCATCGTCGCCGCCATCGGTCATTTAATAGCTTGTTTTGTTGTAATTTAAACAAATGAATGCAGAAGTGATGCAACACAACTAATCTGGGTTTACACTTGTATGTATTGCAATTGTTTTAATTGTTATTTATCTGTTTCTGTTAGCTTCTAGGAAGCTATAGTTCTGCAGTATTATTTGAGGTTTGTTTGTTTGCAGTGAAAAAAGAAATGTCCTTTTCTTTTTTTATTTATGGTGAAAGTAAAACAAAAAACTGATAAATGATTTCACAATGTGTCCGTTTATTTACAGAAGCTTCTGGAAGATTTTACACAAAGTTAATGATCTGTTTCACCGTGAAATGATCAGAGAGAGCTCAGCGAAACCGATTGATTATCTGCGTCCATCTTTGAATGTCGGTCAGAAATAAAGAAGCAGTTTGGAGAAGATCAGCACCACGGAGAGCTCCAACACGGGATGAGACTCCTGTTTTATTGATTTATTATTATTGTTTATGTTCTAACAGAACTAAATACTGTAGGTATAATATATTATTTATAAATATTATTTTTATTTTTTTATACTTAAAGGTGTAATGTAATTTTGGAGAAACCGGCTCGAGTGCGCTAGAATTTGAAAATACACAGCCGGAAGAAATCTGCTACTTCCTTCCAGAGCCCCTCCTCCAACACACACGAACGCGCACATGACCAATGAGGGCACGAGATAAGTTTGTGCACAGATGGAAGGCTGACAGGCAGGTAGGCCATCCAGTTATTTTAGCCGGGCCGGCTAAAATGATTGGTCGTGCTTTTTACAGTACTACGGCTTCCACAGATGATATTTTTTTATGGATTTGTTGGCAAAGCACTTAAGATATTCATTGCTATCGGGATGTTAAGAGCATTCCATGGAATATAACAAAAAGTGTATCTCGAGCCGGTTTCTCAAACTTACCACCCCACCTTTAATTTCAGTATTTCTGATAATGTCCTTTAAAGGGGTAGGTCATTTATTTCAGAAACACTTTTTGTTATATTCCATGGAATGCTCTTAACATCCCGATAGCAATGAATACATTAAATGCTTTGACAATAAATACATACAAAAATGTCATCTGTGGAAGCCGTGGTGCTGTAAAAAGCACGACCAATCATCTGAGCCGGCCCGGCTAAAATAACTGGATGGCCTACCTGCCTGTCAGCCTTCCATCTCGTGCACAAACTTATCTCGTGCCCTCATTGGTCATGTGCGCGTTCGTGTGTGTTGGAGGAGGGGCTCTGTAAGGAAGTCTGAAGGAAGGGGAAGATTTTTTTCTGTTGTGTACTTTCAAATTCTAGCGCACTCCAGCTGGTTTCTCCATTCTTACCTACCCTACCTTTAATTATATTTATTTTTAGGTTTATAACCTTCATATACACAGTAAATAAGAACACAGATAACCAGAAATCATCATATATATGTGTGTGTGTTGTATACACACATGCATTTTGAGTAATATTCGAAATTATGAGAATAAATGTTAAAATCGACTTTTTTCTCGACACTATTTTCCAAATGCAACATAAATAAAAATAAATCTTCCTCTTTGGTTCCTCTATTCCTGGAACTGATGCTCTACTACACTCAGGCTCCCTCCTCCTCATAGCAGATTCATATATCATATTTAACATGCATTATTATAAGCATACGTTGTGTTCCCATATTACCACACATATCTCCTCCCTCTCTCTCTCCCTCACTGCTCTCCTATGTCTCTCTCTCTCTCTCTCTCTCTCCCTCACTGCTCTCCTATGTCTCTTCCTCTCTCTCTCTCTCTCTCAGTGCTCTCCTATGTCTCTTCCTCTCTCTCTCTCTCTCTCTCTCTCTCTCTCTCTCTCTCTCAGTGCTCTCCTATGTCTCTTTTTCTCTCTCTCTCTCTCTCTGCCTCCTCTCTATCTCTCTCTTCTCCTCTCTCTCGTCTCTCTCTCTCTCTCTCTCTCTTCTCTCTCTCTCTATGTCTCTCTACCCAGCTGAGGGGTGAGGCTGACGGATGTCTTATCCATGTTGAGGATGGAGGAAACAAGGGAACTAGTGGCTCTCCTTTCACTCGGTGTTTTTTGCCACAGAGCTGATACATCAGGAACCCGGAAACCTGAGCCAGGAACCATTTTCCATGAGAGGAGAGAGCTGGTACCAACGATGACCCGGGGGGAGGACTCAGCATCAAGGTAGGCTCTTCCTCCTTTTCCTCCTTTTCCTGCTCGCTTTGCGGGTGGAGGCTAGTTAAATGTGATCATCTGTTTCTGGCTGCGGGGGGCGGAGGGTTACATAACAGCGCGAGCCGAATCACAGATTAATTAACAATGATTAGGAAAACACGCATGAAGATATGAATATTAATTGTAGAAGGCTGGTTTCTGCTTCTTCCTGTTGACATTGTGGAGGAAGAAGAAGAGGAGGAATCGGCAGTGAATGGAAACCTGGAGGTGTTGAAGAGGATCAAATGTTCCGGGCTGTGGGAGCCTGCAGGCCCGCGGGCCGCTCGTTCCCCCCCACTAACCAGCAGTAATGGTGCTTTTATTTAGAGAGAAAAACGCAGAAACTCAACGCTTATTGTTATGCTTATTATCTGGATCACCTCCGTATCCATGACAACAGGACATCTCCAGACTAATAGCTTGCTCTTACTGCACCTGATCCCAGCTGCACACACACACACACACACACACACACACACACACACACACACACACACACACACACACACACACACACACACACACACACACACACGTAGCTTAGCATGGCTCTATAATAAAAAAAAACGTTATTATTGTGCTTATTATAATGATAAAAGCCCTCACACAGGTGGTCTCAAGCAACAGGCTACCGTGCAGCTATCTTTCTAACAAGCTAATTATGATGTTTTAAAAAGTATTATATGAGTATATAAGATCAGCTCAATCTAAATGGGTCTATTTTTTCCTGCACTGGTCAAATTTAGAGAATTTTTCACTTGTCTTCTTTCAAACTACAAGGGAAGTAGAACATTCAAAATCCACATTTCGTTTTTTATTTGACTATTTTCTGTCTTTGTGCGTGTTTAGATTTCTCCTAAATTTACAAAAGGTTAGAATTGTACATGACCTCAACTGAATATTTAAACAAATTTCAGAAAACGTTATAAATAATTTTCTTAGTATACGTAACCAGTTTCATGGTGTTACCATATTTTACAATGTTCACTTTTTCCAAAATACTTTTACAATACATATAATCAAAGGCTGTTTCCTGAGATTTATCATCTATATATATATATATATATTCGGAAGATTAATTATAGAGAGGTTTGTGTAGTTCAATTGTATTCAATTTCAAGAACAACACAAACATGGCACACACTTTATTTTTAATAGTGGCATTTATTTGAACTTGTAGTACATTTTCCAAATTAAAAAAATGTTTACTTTTAACTGAGTATTCTTAGATTGTGGTATTAGTACTTTTACGTAAGCAATTCATCGGAATACTTGCCTCTCAGGCGTAGTGCCCGCTGCTCTACCAAGAAAATAATCACCAATCAAGGCTGCAAAAAACTCCCTGCAAGATGGATATGAATATTTAAGGAGATGTGCAGTAACATGCCGTCTTAATGCCAGAGCAAACCAGAGAATTGCACAGTTTAATTATTGCACATTATTATTGTGCTGTGAAGTCACACAATTGGAGAATAAATTAAGACTCAATAAAGCTATTAAGCCTTTTTGAATGACTCATTGATTGCCTGAGGCTTAGTGACTTACTTCAAAGTAATACACCTGTTTGATCAATGTGTCACTACATTTAAATGGAAGACACAATGATGTTATTATAATTAAAGTGGAGATACCTGATTCCTGATGTGCTCTTGTTGTAGTTACATGTTTTAAAAACCTCCAGGGTTTGATGCCAAGCAGGAATCCTCTCTTTCCCTGGTATTTTGTTTAACCTATATTTTATTTTTACAGCAAACATCATACAAATGAGAACTTGGAGCAGATGCTAACCCAATTACACTTATCTTACATGAGATTACTCTTCTCTGGAAATTATTTTAAACTACTTTATACGTTGTAGTACGTTTTTGATGAAATAAGATTGGGACCTATCGAATCAGCCGATTCTAGGCTTTTAATGTAAAACAGACACAAACTTCTCCTCTTGATGTCAAATATTTTCTCAGCAGGTGAATCTGTTGTAGTTTCCCCTTTATTTAGTGTGTGTGTGTTATAGGAACGAGCTGATGCTTTAATCTCAGCGGATGGTCTTGCAGTCTGAGTGATTTTGGATAATTGGGTTCCATATTCACACTGACCGTTTTGCACAAACAGTGCAGTACTTTTCACAATATCTTGTCAAATGAGGCTAGTTTCAAACCACTGACCACCATATAACCTGAGATCTAAAAAACGTAAGAAATACAGTGATGAGATTTGAAAATATTTAGTATGAGCCGAGCCGTGCATACTGCCTGTGCTAAAAATAGCATCTGTGCTCGGCTGGATGTTGGATCCACATCTGGCTCCAGTTACCTGCAGCAGCTGAGACGAGCAGAATCAATATCAGGACTGAAATCAATGGTTATTTATCTCGTCTTGTGCATATCGACAGACTTCTTTAGACACAACATGCCTTTATGCACCTCGTCCTGCTGCAGGCCAAACACCTGTTTCAGCACGGACGCTTATGTAACTCCAAATAGACAATCCTTTAAACAATACCTCCATCGATTGACTTAAGATCCATCAGTAACTTCACTATACTGACTTTAACAATCCAGATAACTACTATCCTAGCTATGATTTTGTAATTTATTTTATTTTTGACATGGCCATAATGTTTTATTAATTGAATGTCAGCAGAGCTTGGCTGTAAATGAGCACAGTGTGTTCTTCTCACTCATCATATGTCATACTGTAATCCTATTACAAAGCAGGTTACTTAAAGGATAAGACTGTGACGGCGTATTGTGGCCATTGTAGGAAATGAATGGCAGCCTGGAGAGCGGCTAACACTCAGAGATCAGGGATGGATATTCTGCATAACATTTAAGAGAAACATTTGTTAGAAAGAAAAACATGAATACTCTTTGAGACCAATGTGGTACGTTTACAAGTAATACACTCACATATTAACAGGATTTTAAAAATATATTATCTGAAATATTAATTTTACAAATTCACAAGAAAATGCAGATACATTTCTCTGAGATAAAAGTCAAACTGTACAATATAACATAATTCAATTATTATGGTCTTTGTCAAGGGGCTGGATCGATCTCATAATACCAAAGACCTCACTGCCTATTAAGCCTTCAGTTTTGCAATTAAAATATATTACAAAATGACAAGAAGGCAAAGAAAAAATTGTCTATTGCCACCTTAAAACTTGCTTTATATTTTACTGGGTGTAATAGTTTATTGTCAGTGTTTTCATAACAAACATGATCCTAACAAGCCTGTAAATGTTAGAATCAGAATCATGTTAATTGCAGTAGATTAATTAAAGGAATTGGCTAAGGTGTATTGGTGCATACATCAACCAAGAAGGAGATTAAAGAAAATAAATAAAAATATAAAGACTATTTATTCAAAAACATTTCCCAAAAAAGATGCAGGATACATGAAATAAAATTGAAAGAGCTGTTCAGAGGTAGTATTGTCGTGCTGGCATGTGCGAAGGTTCACAGTACGCAGTATCAGGAAGAGTCTGCAGTCTGAGGAAAATATGCATCTATTATATATATATTTTTTAGAACAGATGTTAATTGAAGCTTAATGCACAAAGCAGTTTTTCTCCTCGGCCCTCGTTCACAGAACCAAACAAATAGATGTTTTTTCCGCGGTCGTGTGCGTGCCCTCATCCATCTGGTACATTCCTTCCTCTGTGAACACTGAGCAGTGCGTTACCACGGAAACCAGTGCTGCTCCAGCTCATAATATTCTCCCGTGAATGGAGAGCAGAGCGGCCATTTGTTCAGGTGGTAAAATACAATACAAGAAAAAAACACACTGATGAAGGCAAGGACAATGTGCATAGGAGAGGAGACCATCTTTTTGTATTGTGTTGTTATTTAAATGTATTATTCAGGGTTCTCCAACTGCCTTCAGATTGGACATAGAGGACAGAGGACATATTAGGCTGTATGTTGTGTCTCTACTGTGACATGTCTCCATGCTTTAATGTTCAAAAAGCTCTTTATTTTTCTCATACTGCCTGTGCTGCAGCACCTCTTTTCACCCTCTGTCTGAAACCAGAGCCCAGTCTGCTCTGATTGGTTAGCTGGCCGGCTCTGTTGTGATTGGCCAACCGCTTAGAGATGTCCCGCCCCTTCACGTACAATGTGTTGGAGCGCTAGCCAATAGAAGCGAGAGTGTAACATAGTGATGTCATTATGTAAGTAAACAAAGGAGTCCAATGGAGGCGTTTCAGGCAGGGGGGGGAGAATAGGGATGTTAGCCTTTGCAGACCATTTACATGCACAAAAACCTATATAACACACTACAGTAAAGGGAACATCTGCAAACGCATAATACTATTGACTCAATTCTTAATCTTTGCCTTTGCTAAACCCCATGTTTCTTCTTTCTGCTCTTAAAGGCTTGATTCCTCCAATCCAGAAACCCCATGGAGCAGGATGTGGAGAGCCCGGCCACTTTCAAACCGCACAAGTTGCCAAAGCAGGCCCGTGAGGACCCTCCGAATAAGATAGCAGAGAGGGACCGCAGTAGGAGGCTTCAGCGGTACGTCCAGAAAGACGGGAAGTGCAACGTCCATCACGGGAATGTGCGTGAGACGTACCGCTATCTGACGGACCTTTTCACCACACTGGTAGATCTGCAATGGATGCTCAACCTGTTCATATTCGTGTTGGTGTACACCGTGACGTGGCTCACCTTCGGGTTCGCGTGGTGGTTCATTGCGTATGTTCGGGGCGATTTAGACCATTTATCAGACATTGACAAAAAGTGGATTCCATGTGTGGAAAACCTCCATTCGTTCGTCTCAGCTTTCCTGTTCTCCATCGAGACAGAGACCACCATCGGTTACGGGCACAGAGTCATCACGGACAAATGCCCCGAGGGGATCCTTCTGCTTTTGATCCAGTCGGTGCTGGGCTCCATCGTGAACGCCTTCATGGTGGGTTGCATGTTTGTAAAGATCTCCCAGCCCAAGAAGCGCGCTGAGACTTTAGTGTTTTCCACCAACGCCGTGATCTCCATGAGAGACGGACGGCTGTGCCTGATGTTCAGAGTGGGAGATCTCAGGAACTCGCACATCGTGGAGGCTTCGATCAGGGCCAAGCTCATCAAGTCGAAGCAGACCAAGGAAGGGGAGTTCATCCCTTTGAACCAGACGGACATGAACGTGGGTTACAACACGGGCGACGACCGGCTCTTCCTGGTGTCTCCGCTCATCATCTGCCACGAGATCAACCAGGGCAGCCCCTTCTGGGACGTCTCACGGAGCAACCTGCACACGGAAGAGCTGGAGATCGTGGTGATTCTGGAGGGGATGGTGGAGGCCACAGGTGAGACGCCAGATGGTTTATACATCGTATTTGTTTTTTCAGAAAAAGAAAAACATACATACATACATACCAACACAGCCTGCTAAATGTATCACATATCAAAATATCAGAGTACCACAGCAAACTACCCCAGAGACAGGACAAGAACAGAAAAGACGGACAAAGGGAGCATCACAGAGGTAGAGCATCATCCATGGTATACACGATATACATGATACGCGGTATGCAAACCACCCTGCACATTATATCAAACACGTAGTACATCACATTGTAACTTTAGAGAGGGTGGAGCTCTCCAGCACTTCAAGTCACCGCCACAAAAGGGCCCCATAATTTCATGTAGATATACATCGGATTTGTGATGTTATTATTATTACATTACATTACATTACATGTCACTTGTTAGACGCTTTTATCCAAAGCAACTTACATACTCAATACTGTGGGCAATCCCCAGGAGCAATTTGGGGTGAAGTGTCTTGCCCAGGGACACAACGACATGCTGACTGAAGTGGGGTTTGAACCTGGGGTTTGAACCTGTGACCCCCTGATCCGAACACCAACGCACAACCCACTGCGCCACACGCCTATTATGCGTAGATTACATATGCCGTGTTTCAGCTGCATTGTACAAAGCCGAGCCATGCGGTGCTCGACTAGACATGACTCAATTCACTTTTGGTACCAGAATTTTTTTCTGTTGTGTTAAATTTGGGATAGTACCCCCTCATTGTTTCACGTAGCAAAGCAGCATGAACATAGTGTGTCACCAGGATACTCACTAAATCCTTTAATCTGCCTAGACAGATAAAGTTGACAAAAATGTTTCTAAAACCCCTGGAAGTTCAATTCTAGCTGTTTCACGTTTTTCAAAACTTTAAGAAAGAGGCTTGAAAACCTGAAATGAGTTCTCTCCGCCAAGAGAAACCTCTGAAAAGCTAGCCATTTTCTTTCTCCTAGGGAACCACATGTGTTAAATCTGGTTATTCTTTGACAGGGTTTGGTTTATAACAATATCCCGTTGCTGGTGATCACAGAGAAGTTTAGGTTTAAGCTTCTCTTCTCACCACTTTACTTCTATAGCACATTTCAACAAGACAATTCAATGGGTGCATTTCCTAAAACATTGAGACTAAGTGCAAAAAGAACCCAATAACATACACATTCAATTAAAGAAATGTTGTAAAGAACCCTTAACATTGGAAATTAAAACAAGCTTAAAATAGACTAAGAAAACTGACAGTGCAGTGTATGAAAATGTAACACTTATGATATAGGTGTAAACATTTCTTATACTATTTGGATGAACCAACCATTCATAAAAATGTTTTCCTTGTATTGGTTTAATTTGTTTTATGTCCCATATATTCATGTTGCATTGTTGGAGGAGCCTGGGACTTAAGTTCTTCATCGTCATATCTACACTAGCTTCTGTGCATATGACAATAAAGCGTTGAATCTTGAATCTTTAAAACCTTGTCCTTGTGACTGCAGGCATGACGTGCCAGGCGAGGAGTTCCTACGTCAGCAGTGAGATCAAGTGGGGCTACCGCTTCATGCCAGTCCTGACGCTGGAGGACGGCTTCTACGAGGTGGACTACAACAGCTTCCACGACATCTACGAGACCAACACGCCCAGCTGCAGCGCCAAAGACCTCTTTAGCGCTCGCAGCCGCCTCCCCTTCACCTGGTCGCTGGCCAGCAAGCTGAGCCAGCAGGGGCTTCAGATGTCAGAGCAGGAGACCAAGAAGAACCCGGAGTACCAGGGGAAGATCCTGCAGCCGGAGAGGAACGGAGACATTGCCAACGTAGAGAACGAGTCCAAAGTGTGAGAGAAGTTGGATGAGATCATCGTGTGTCTCTCCGGGATGAGCTTGCAGAGGTTGAGAACGAGGACCAATGAGCACAGCAGACCAACTACTTTTTTCTCAGTGATTTCACAGTTAAAACCCCAAAAGCAACAACTAGACATGTGGACTGAAACCCCTCTGTGGGGACAGTGCATGATTCAGATATAATGTGATGTCCTCCTGATGAGATTCCTCTTATTTTTTCTATTAAGATATTCCTAGGGGCATTTGCATAAGTATTTTTGTATATACTATAAAACTGTTTTGAATTATTTGTTGCGGTCTTAATACTTGACAGATGTTTGATACTAAATCTTTTAGGTTAGTTCTGTATATGCTCTGCCTTATTCTCTGTATTATAAAGCGTTCATTATTTGTTTTGTTTTTAGATATATATTAGCATGTATGAGCATTATCCGCAGTTAATTTATCTTGTATTGTGTAAACTGTATTATTATAAGGGACACGTACATTTCAATGGATGCAAACACTAGTTTAAACCAATCTCAAATACTTACTCTCATGATAAATGTTTAAGTTAGTTCTGCTAAATACTTTCCTTTAGAAGCCATGACTTGCTGTTTGCAGCTGTGACTTCAGACAATGGCCCTTTAAAACTGCATCGCGTCACTTTTGCACATTGGAGGCCTCTGATGGAGAAAGTTAGTCGCTGTCATTCTCCAGAAACCCCTCACCTGTCACCTAACAGTATCAAAAGTAAATAAACAATAAATTGCAAAATATGCATTTGATGAGTCTTTTTGTCGTGGTTTTTGCATCTTATTATGTTTATCAGCAGTGGATGAAGTACGGAGATGCTTCATTTGGGTAAAGGTCTTGCATTGAAACGTAGTAAAAGAACTAGTCAAATGTAGTTAAAGAAATAATCTACCCCAGAAAATAATAATAATGACTTTATCAATTATATATCAAGTTCTTGAAAAACAATGTTGTTTTTCACAAAAAGGAGTAACAACTTTGATGAATTGAAGACAATCTTTACTGTGTTTGACACGAGCAAATCTATACTAAAACATGTTTACAGTGTCGTATGAGTACAAATACTAATGTTCTTTGCAGTCAGCAAAATCTATTTCACCGTCTTCTTTATTTCACTCAAATGAAACAGTTAACATCCTCCACCATTAGTACATGTACTCCTCATTTGCAGTTTACAGTAGAGTTCCACACAGCTTGTTTTAATACCTGTTTCTAGAACTGAAAAAACCCAGCACAATATCTGTCATCAAACACTTGAATGACATGTTTTTGTTTTATAAATATCAAATGCACACTTAGATGTAAGCACTCAGGTTCAAGTCAAAGTTAGTTTATTAAATCTCGTAAATTCTATCTGGCCAAAATAAAGTCTTTCAAATAAGTTCATCCATCCATCCATCCATCCATCCATCCATCCATCCATCCATCCATCCATCTTCTCCCGCTTATCCGTGGTCGGGTCGCGGAGGTATCAATTCCAGCAGAGAGCCCCAAACTTTCCTTTCCCTGGCCACATCAACCAGCTCTGACTGGGGGATCCCAAGGCGCTCCCAGGCCAGCGAAGAGATATAATCCCTCCACCTGGTCCTAGGTCTACCCCTTGGTCTCTTCCCAGCTGGACGTGCCTGGAACACCTCCCTAGGGAGACGCCAGCCACCCTGCGGAGAAAACCCATCTCGGCCGCTTGTATCCGCGATCTCGTTCTTTCGGTCATGACCCATCCTTCATGACCATAGGTGAGGGTAGGAACGGAAATGGCCCGGTAGACAGTTCATACATGATTTTCTTTAAAAAAATCAATCTAATATTTGATGTTAAAGACCTAATAAAGTCATAAGAATAAACACAATCATTTTAGTTAGCTAACATCATGTTAGTATGAAACCACACAATGCCAAACGGTGCCCTAGTGAGAAAATATGGTAATTTACGTTATTAAAATATTAAACAGTCACTGAATTAAATGATCTTCAAGCAAGAAAACCAGTATAAGAGCAGTGGAGTTTCACCAGTCTGTTTTTACACCAAATATCATCACAGAAAGACCAAATAAATCAATGTTTAAAACACATTATTAGAGTTTCTTTCATTTAACATCTTCCGGCGCAGACTGAAAACTCATCTCTTTCGACTCCACTTCGAGCAATAAAATGAAAAACAGAAAACAAAAAACACGCACTTAGATACTAACTAAGCACTTACATACTAACAAAGCACTTATATACTAATAAAGGGCTGGCTTATCTAAAGCTAGTTGAGTAGCACTTGAAATGTTTTGGCTCTATGAAACCTGATGTACTTATATGATTCTGTTTTCTTCAAGTTTGTATCTTCTTGGTCGAATGCACTTATTGTAAGTGGCTTTGGATAAAAGCGTCAGCTAAATGCAATGTAATGTAATGTAACATGCTTTTTACATTGTTTCATTATAACAGGGAGACAATACAGTAAGTCCTGACAGCAAAATGTTAAAACATTTATGAAACAAACAAATAAACTGAAGGGCCTCTTGAGTTACAGCTGGATTTCATCAGATTATATTACACATCATATTAAATACAGCGAGACATGTGATCATGTTGGGATATTACTCCAATAAAAATGAATTGGATAAAAATAAGAGAGAAAATGTGTGTGTGGGGAAGAAAGGAAAGTAGAAAAACAAACAAAAATAATAATAAAAAAGGTGAAAAATAAATAAAAGAAAAACAAGAAAAAGTGAAAATAAGAAAACATGAATAAGATAATGAGAAAAACTCAACAATTTAAAATAAAAAGGGAAAAAAAAGAGCGAAAAAGAATAAAATAAAGGAAAGAATAAGAAATAAAATAAAGGGGTGGAAGAAAATAAATAAGAGTTGAAAACCAACTGTCCTAAAACAGAAACACATCACTAAAATACAGAAGTTTATACTAGCTTTGTTTTTACTTTGCACATTCACTAAATACTGTGATTAGTTACGGAGACACTTAGTGATGAAGGAGCAGCAGTGTTAGCTAAGTGACTTTAAAGACATCTGTGCAATACGTTTTCAGTTTAATGCTTTTACATTTTGTTCCCAGGATTGCACATGTTTTCTTTTTAAAGCATCCCTGAAGGCAGGAGAAAAGAAGCTCTGCACCCTAACAAGCTCGCTAACAGATAATAACTTTTTCCTCTCTAATACCCGTCTAAAAACCACGCTTAGGAGAAAAGAGGTTTGATCAAAATGGATGCTGAAACACAACCGGTGCTGAAAGAAACACTTTTTAATGCCACTCAGAATAATGTTAAGACCGATCTTCTTCTCCCTGCCTGACCGTCATTCAAAAGGCATTTCACTTTAAATATATATTACCACTTGTTTGACATCCCCTGTCTAACTTTAAGACTTTGATTAAGACATTTTGATATCAATTAAGGACTTATTTTGAGATCAATTAGTTTCGTACCTTTTTTTTAAGACTTCTTAAGGATTCACAGGAACCCGGTATATATATAATGTATAAGTTGAGTATTGTCCTTATTATGTCGATATGCACATTTATCAGATGATGAGTGTAGTGGAGTATCAAGCAGTAGAATACTAAAGAACAGTACAAGTACCTAACAAATTAAGTATAGTACTTAGGTTTAACCACTAAACCACATTTTTAAGCTACAAAAATGTCCTCCTTTTTGGTCTTTCTCCTTCTCCGTCCGCTCAAAACTCAGAACCCTGTCGACAACTTGTTTTGATCAATGGCACATATCTCAACATTGAAATAAAGATTTGAGCGTGTTTATTTATCCCCACTGATCGCTGTTATTGCATTAAAATTAACACATTTTGCTGCAGAACTTATAATTCTGGTGATCGGGGCGTTTAAGGTGCAGAAGAAGCTCAGCAGGAGATTAGTGCGGATGATATGTTACCTTGAAATTCAAAGAGCAGTAGTACCTTTTATAAAGTGGTGCAGTGATGACGTATTTTTGTAGGCCGACCCTGAAGTAAGCTGCTGGTTCCCTCGACAAAAAAGCAATGGGATTTCTCCATAGGATTTTGGAATATTGTAAAAAATAAGATCTGTGGAAAACGAACCTGTTTGATAAATGCACGTTTTGTTCTGCGGGATAATCTCCACATGTCTGCCCTACTTTTATAGTTTTCAAATCTAATCGCCAGAAGCAAAATTCTGACGTTATGCTATAAATGAACTACAGCAGGGTCGCACGACTTCAACGTCACGCCAACTTAAGATCGATATTCAAAAATACAGATTCAAAGTTGTACAAGTTGAAGCGTTTGTTTGAACAGTTTGCAGGAGGCAGGTACTTGCTTTCAAGCAGAACAGGGCAAACAAACTTAGAGGAGTGTTTACGTGTTCGGTGTAATGACGTAAAACGGCCTCGACAACTTCTGTAGTCCTATTCAGCCACTTGTTAACAACCATCATTTTTCAGACACGTAAACTCTTCAAAAATCCCCAGTGGGGTCACTGCTGATGTATTAAATGTGTGTCAACGACAGACCTTATTTCCAGCTATTTTCCCAAAACAAGTTCAAAAATCCCATTGACTCTGAGACGAGGGAACCGGACGTGAAAATGCTAACTCACTTCCGGGTTTTAGGACTCGTCACTGCACCACTCTATGTGCAACGCTCCCTTCTTAAACTACCCAGAAAACACCTGGGGCGTGAGGGGCGGCGGCAGGTTGTCGTTGTCCACGTCGTCGTTGTCGTCGATGGCGGGAACGTGTCGAGGCGGGACCTCCAGAGGGTATTTCTTCAGGATGCCGGTCACCTCGTGCTGTACGCTCTGGGGCCAGGAGAGCAGCTCGGCCTGCAGGCTCTGAGCCGCCTCCATCAGAGCCTCCTGCCGCGTGCTGAGACCCGACAGAGCCTCCAGGTTGGTGTTCAGCTGAGCCAGGACAGGGTTGATGGGGTCAGGCGGGGGGGCGGAGGACCAGACCCCATCTGAGGAGCGAGGAGAGGCCTGGCCCGACATGTAGCGCTCAAACTCCTCCGGGGAGAGGTTGAGGGACTGAGCGTCCAACTTCTCGATAAAGGCCGCCGCACAGCACTGAGGAACAGGAAGTGAAAGGAGAAACAGCAGGTTTAGTTTAAAGGTCCCCTATGATACTGTTTTTCATCAATATATTATAGGTCTCAGATATATACAAACATGTCTCTGAAGTGTTTGGCTTGAAATACCAAACAGATCATTGCAGCATCCCATAATCCCCTCTGTTTCAGTCCTGTTTCAAAAGTGCTGATTCTCTGTCTGTTACTTTAGATGAAAATAAGGAGCCACTCCCCACGCCCCTCTGAGAGATATTTGGTTAAAAAGAACACAATAGGCGCGTTCACACCAAGTACTTTGCCGTACTCAGTGCTCCGGCACTTATTACCCCAGGGCACTTAGTACAGATAGCGTTCACACCGGAATAAATTCCCTGAGGGAAGATTACGCAAATGAGCCGCTGAAGTCACTTCGTCTTCTTCTGCTTTGGGTTTACTGGCAGGCCGCAAACAACTTCACGGCGTATACTGCCACCCGGAGTCCCCGGCCGGAAGTCCCCGGAGTTGGGGACTGGCTTCAGTAGAAGCTGCTGGGACTCCCAGCAGCTTCTACTGAAGCCTTCCGAGTAAATCGCCAGAACGCCGACACCTCCTCATCTCCACCGCTCCCATGTTTTATTTTGTGTTGCCATAAGTTAGTCTCTCTGCGTTTGTGCACTGGGCGAATGCTAATGCTAATAATGCTAATGCCAGGATAATAA